CTGCGTGTTCGCCGGGGACTGGAGGGAACGTGGGGTAGAACGACCTGGCGGCCGGGGAGGCCCCTCGGCGGCCGGCGGGGCCCTCTAGGCTGCGCCCTCGCTCCTCTAGGAGGAATTCCCCATCTCGCTTTGCAAAGTTGTGGGATCCGTGTCAGTAGAGCGAAAGCCTGTCTCTTTCAAGATGGAAGCTCTCTTCCGGGCTGCGCCCCAGGCGCTCCCCGGGACCGTGGATCCCCAGAGCCACAGTCGGCGCTCCCTCCCGGAGAGTTCAAAATACCCTGCCGCTGTGCTCCTTCTTTTTATAATAATTTCTTGTACTGGGAATTAAAACAATCGGCTTGCCAAGTGGTCAAAGCTCTAAAACATACTCTAGCTGCTTTGCATGTCCCAGGAGGTGTTATTTTAAATAAAAATTTATATACAGGGGTAATTAACATCGTGATACAAAGTTGCTTCTGAAACTCGGACTGAATAAATCCTTTTTTTCAGTCGTTTGAAAGAAAACCATTACCACCGTAAAGACCACTCAATAAAGGGCTTCTCTCTTTACTTGACTGATACAAATCGAAAACTCAATATATTCGTAATGTTACAAAATATTCTTTTTACTATCCGGAGGGCGTTAAGGCATTGTATTAACAATATCTTGTATATTTTATTAACATGTCTTAATATTTGCACGGTGACGATTTTTGGTGCGTTTCATGCTCCTCTTTAGCACTTTTTTTTTTCAAATTTGTTTTATTACCAAGGTAATAGTAATTTTGCTTTTAACTTTAATTAGACAAATTATTATCCAAATATTTATAAAATCTTAATTGACACTCTTGCGATTTCATTTAAAAGCCTGAACTATATACTTCTTTATCCAGCTGGTACGGAGGTAAAGTAGGACTTCCTGGTGAACATTTCAGTCAATCCCCAAATTCTTAGTAACTCTTTCTTTATGGTCCAATTAAAAGCAACTCTTAAAATTAATCTTGTAGTTTTTTTCAATTCTGTAGCTCCTGATGTATATAGTAATTCCTTGTCAATTAGGGCTCTGCTTTACTCTTTCATAATAAATCATATCCACAGTAGGATTTCTGATAGTGCTTCTTATGGGAATTTTCTTCGGTGTTTCTGATTGCGCACTCATCACTGTAGGCTTACCAACATCGTAAGGACAGGCCATCTGAGACTAGACCCCTGGGGAAAAGATTACGTAGATCGGTTGTATAGCTTTCCCTGCAGAACTTGACAAAACTGAGCTGGATAGGACGAAGGCTCGGTAGATCCTTCGCCAATAGTGAAGGATTTGCAGCTTTTCTGTCTTTGCCTTTGTTGTTGATACACACTGCCCTCTCTGGCCACCGTGGAGAAGCATCTGTTCGGTGTTGCACCTTTCAGGAAAAAATTCTGTGTTGATGGCGGAGCTCCAGTGAAAACAATGTAGTATCTGGCTTTTCTTTTTTTAAACTGTAGGTTTCCCAACCTACAGTGTTTTTATGTGCTGGAGTGTTTTATAAAGAAAGCCCTAGCTAAGTTTTTGTTATTGTTGTGGTAGGCTTACTAGAGAGAAAGCAAACTGTTTTAAAGACTTCTATAGTGTATATTTATAAATGCTGGGAATTGACCTGGAAAATTTAAAAAAAAAAAATTGTTAACAAAAGTTGTTTCTAAGAGGGAACCTGGGGAACTGAAAGAGTGAAGGGATTTACATTTCCCTCCACACCTGTTTGCATGACTGTATTTT